CCACCCTCTCTCTCTCCCCCCCCCACCGGTTCATTGAGATGTTGGGGGGGCTCCTCCTTCTGGCACTTCTTCTCCCCCACCCTGTGTTGGTCCCAGAGAATAAAATATCTGAAAAGTAGCAAGCCGCTGAGCGAGGCAGGTCTCTTTCTCTGCATGTGAACGCACACACACGGAGCCATGCCGAAGAAGTACAACTTTCCACCTGACACAGAGGCATCCTTCTGCGTTGGAAATGCACCGGCAGGAGAGGGAAATACTGTAGTGGGTAAAAAAGTATTTTTCTGTTTTGCATAAGTCTGCATTCAGGGGACACACCAGCAGTCAAAGCACTAAAGGAATTCTGGGTGTATGAGAAAGGCTGCAGAAGGATGCACGGTTTCAGATGGGGGGGCATAATAAGAGGGTATTTAAAAAGGCCTGCCTAGGACCACGCTGGTTTCTGAGCCTGTTTTAAACCAATTCATACAACAGCCTTCACACTTTATATACATGTCTATAAAATAAGTTTTTTTAAAAAAAAAATTAAAACAAACATTAGGAAAAAACAGTTCCAGCCTGAAAATCGAAAAGAAATCATGTTTAAAGATAATTAGGATTGTGCGTGAAAGAGGCTTCAGCGAATGTATTGAAATTGAATTCATTATGAGTGTTTCAGAACAATGATGTCTTGCATTTGTCCCGTCCGGTTCTTAGAACTGCTGGATAGGTCAGTTGTTTAGGTAGAGGTTGGGAGTTCGAATTCCCCCTCTGGGCTTCCTTGATGGGGCGGGGAGGAGAAGGGGGGCTGGTTTGGAGGGTCCCTCTGAGAGCGTCCCTCCTGGCTCTGCAGTTCAAAGGCTATTATTATAACTTAATTTCTTATACTTTCGCCACCTTAGATCTATATATAATAGATGTTTTTTTGGTTTTATTGTTTTTATTTTTCCTCCAGAGATGACCTTTGGTCTAGATGGGCGGGACAGAAATCCAATAAATAAATAAATAAATAAATCTGGTGTGCGGTGGGGTGTTTATTTATTTATTTGATTTATTTCCCGCCCATCTGGTCTGGTCGACCACTCTGAGCCAGGTAGGCACGGAAAATAAGAGTCAGGGAAGACCTTTCCCAACTGTGACCAAAGTGTGCCAGCTTTGAAGTTCTGCAGAAATCTTCACCAGGGTGGACGGTACCCCCCCCCACCAAAAAAATAAAAATAAAAATAAATCAGCGGAGGTAGGAGGAAGGAAGCCAAATCCAGAGTTGGTGTTTTCTATAGACCAGTCTGGCAGAAACGCTGGCCTTCCTCTCGGCTGGCTGGATCCTATTTGGGGCGTCTTTCAAAGTTTTTAAACAGCGCTGGAAACTGTGTATCAACGCCGCCCCCCCTCCGGAAAGGGCGGGAGCGAATGCAAACGCGCTCAGGCGTTTTGAATGGGAGGAATGTGGATGAATGAAAGC